TAACAATGAAGACAACATTTTTTTAGGGGGGGGGGGGGCGGGGATTGTTTGTTTTCAGGGAAGGAGGCAGCAAAAGGAGACAATGGGTTAAGACATGTTAGCATTCAATGGCTGCTGAAGGGGGCGACTCCGATGAATCAACATTTGAGGACAAGTCTTGCAATCCATTCCGGTGATTCCCAACCACTGCGTCATGACACATTGAGTCCAAATGATTCACTACAAACAATGCTTTCTGTGATCATCTATCTATGCCGGTGACGTATTGTGACAGGCGGATCAATAAAAATGCTCTGCCATTTCCTGTTGCCATTCAGACAAAGGAATGACGGCCTTGCGTTCAACTCGACAGGCTCAGATTTGATCATTATTTGAGACAGTTCTTTTCTGTTTTTGGCGGCGTGCCATGAGATTTTTTTCGAATGTAAAATATGTGCCTTTAGGGTTGGGAAAAACTGCTAGTCGGTGTGCATTCAGCTGTCTCGTCAAGTAATCGGCAGCAGTGGTGCCTTGGGATATGAGTTTAGCGTTATTATGAATTCCACTTGATTTCTAGACAGCCCAGCCTGGCAGGGCATGGCTTCAGTGAGAGGACTCAACACCTCCTTCTGATCATCAGTACGACACTAGTAGTGGCTGTTCTACGCAGAGGATGAAGAATACTAGTTATTTTTATACAATGCATGTTCATACAGCAATTAGCTTAGCACAGCACAAAGGCAGGAAAAAGATCAGCCTCAGCTGGGAAAATGAGTCTTCCAGGAACTAGTTTAATGAATTTAGTGGGATTTTGTACAAAAAAGTACCGTATTTTCTGCACCATGAGGCGTTTTGGAATATAACCTTCAATGAAAGGCTTTTTAAAACTCTTTTCATATGTACGGTGCACCGCATTATAAGGCGCATCGAATAGAAGCTACAATAGCGGTTGAGGTTGCGTTATGCATCCACTCGATGGAGCTGCGCTAAAGGGAATACTTTAGCGCATAATACGATACAGCTTTATTGAAATAGCGCTTTCACAACCGCTACAGCTGTAACAAGGCGCTTTACAGGACATTTAAAATACTACGTCCAAGAAATCTGAATATTGATCCATATATAAAGCGCGTCGGATTATCAGGCGCACTCTCGGCTTTTGAGAAAACGGAATGTTTTCAAGTGTGCCTTATGGTGCGGAAAATAGGGTCATGGCGTAATTAGTTAGTAGGTGCGTTTATGACATGTAGCAGGACGTCATACAAAAAAGTAGAACACTGATGTTTTGGGGGCGGTTAGCTGACAAATCTGAAACACGGTGAGTGTGTGAGCGTTTGGCTGCGGGTCATCAATCGCTCAGATCTGATTGCAGAACAAAGGAGATTGCTCCGTGGGCCTCTCGCAGTAACAGTAGTCGCTAATGGGGAGCAAGAGGTTGGTTGGATGTTGGTTTTTGGTGGAGCCCGAAGCTCAGTGCAACAGTGCATCGGACCATTATGAGAAGCACGGGCTAGGTTATGAGCGCTAATGTCCCCTGTCAGTCCACGGACAAGGGCACACACTGGATCAAACACGGGCACTGCTTTGAGTTCAAATCCGATGCGGTTAGCTTGAAATGCTCATCTTGTGGGCGTCACACAACAGATTCTGGGACTTTTTTCGAATCTGAATTAGACACGTCCTAAATGGTACCACTGCCTTGGTATCAAAGCATTTTGTTCTTGCCGCAGACAGGGGCGATCAAAGACAATTGTACCCTCCGAGTGGTGTGAGAGGATGAGGAGGTTGACACAGGATGCCCCAGCTCCCGATCCAAAAATGGTGATCCTCTCTGGGTCGCCGCCGAAGTGACCGATGTTCTCGTTGAGCCAGCGCAGCGCCTGAATCTGGTCCAGGAGGCCGTAGTTGCCCTTGGCCGACTGGTCACCTGTGCTGAGAAAACCTGCAGACGGAGAGCAACGGCAGCATGACGTTAGCATCCACAGCTAATCTCTTAGTCCCAATGTTAGAGATTCCGAGACAAGGCCCCGCAGGGGAGTGTCCTGAAGCCTCGTCAGGGGAAAATACTTACGAAATTCAAGGCCATGATTGGACTAGTCAGCCACCTCCATATTTACTCAAACCCAGAACACGACCAAGAGAGAGTGCAATGAACTCAACTCAACTCAACTGTATTTATAGAGCACTTTAAAACAGCCATCGCTGCCGCATAAGAATATCTCTTTTACAATGCCAGTGGATTGTTTTGTGTGAGGGTCCTGTTGCTGTCCAGGTTCTTTTGTTAACAACCTCACAGAAGGAGTCAATAATCAGACCAGAAAACAAGTTCAATTTTGGATTCTCACCGAGTGATCTGTCGTCTTAAATTTTTGAAGCCTTTTTATCTGTTTTTCCAACTGCCCGCGTTGGTCCAAAGTGTGAGGAAATTCTCGGTTTTATCTCCAGCCCTGAACTCTTATAAAATAGTTCAAACGGGGAGACTGAGCGATGTGCCCGCCGTCATTTGCCCACACACACTGT